CCTACTGCTGCCGAGCTACCATCTGTGATGAGAGGTTTTTTGAATAGGCTGGGATTTTTCTAAATAAAAGTTTGCCAATGAATTTTGTATATAATGCAATTTGGAGCTCTTGTCAATCAGGGGAAGTTTTGGGAACTGAAACGGGAGTAGCAGGAGGATGACTGTATGGTTAGTACAATAGAAACAGCAAGGAGGGGTCACAGAATTGGAGACTAATAAGGATTTTTGGAATAAGTTCAGATGGAAATGAAAGCTAATTATAGGAGGTTTCAGGAAAATTTGGTGCCCTCTATATGTTAGGGAGGGGACAAAGTCATTGTTAAAGTGCATCCACAGCAGTATTCCTGTCAAACATGGGAAAGCATCAGTGCCTGTAGAGAAGCCATTGGTGAGACCTGAAGTACTGGAGGGACATTTCTCTCTGACCCTCAGAGCAATTAATTCAAACTGGAGCTGCTGCAGAAAACCACTGTTGTAGTAACTGTTTTGCAACTGGAGCCTCAAAGCGTGCTTGGCATTAGACTGCAGCAGTAGCAGAATTGCCTTGTCTGCTTCTGCCTGTACTTCATCAGCATTACTACTCTGAAGATGCCACAACTGAATTCATGTAAACCTCTGTAAAGACGGATCTGGGGGATTGTTCCTATGAGCAGTTCAGTTATCTCCTTGTAAAAGAGCTGATGGTCTGTCTTGATGTTGCAGTGTTTGAGATCATCCTTGCATACCTGGAGAAGAGAGACTGGAAGGAGGCCTTTTTCAGTGTCTTGCCACAGCGGAAAGGGGCTGTTGCTTTGGGAGAAGCCAATGATTTGTCCAAACATGCTCTGTCTACAAAACAAGATGAAGACAATGCCTCGGACAGCAACTAGACTTCAGAAGGAGAAGATGGGAAAGATGAGACACGCAGTTCATGGAATAAAACTGGGATATGAAGTAGTTACACTTCAAAGACCATCTGCTGCCCTTGTGATACTGAATTGTCTCAATGCTTGGTAGTTCCATACTTGCCCCAGAGCTGTTTCTGGACAATAAGGGTAAAGATAAATGCAGGTTTCTTTTTACCCTGAAACTTCGATATTAATAGCTTTTTTAAAAAAAATAAATTAATGGCAAATGCGGTATTTATTTTGTTTCCCAAGGAAGCTATTTCATTATGTTTTTTTAATATTGCCAAGTTGGGTGTATTACCCAAGAGCAGTAGTAGTTACTGTGTTACTGTATGCATTCTTCTCCATTTCTGCTCTGATTTTCTTGAAAGCAGTGAATGACAAGCATATCTGTGACCTCAAAACCCGCACCACTAGTGCCTGTTGCGAAATGTGCATGAACACTCAAAACAAACAGAAAAATTGTACTTTTCTTCAGCTTCTCAATAGACAATCACAAGCAACTGAACTGCCTTTCTCAGCTGAGCCACTGCAACTTATATACCATATTTAGTTAGCTGGGCTCAGTAGATGTAATAGGAGTGTGGGGTTAAGCTAGTGCTTTGTACTTCAGTTTGAGTGGGATGGCCGTCTGCCCAAGTGCAAATTGTGTGACTTGGTTGGTACGTGGTGCATGTTGAGTTGAGATGAGACAATCACTTTTGATTACTTCTTGATCTCGGCAAAATTTATCACATGGTCTCTGAACAAGACCAGGAGACAAGAACTTTTTCTTACAAATTCCTCAGTTCCAGTATAGCTGTTTAATCACATGATCCTGTATGTATTATATTGTCTGTCAAAAAATTCTAAACACAATAAAATTCCAAAATATATCAGCAGAAAAGTTGATGAGAGATAAAAGAATAAGATGGCATAAGAATATAGAAATAGATTTTACTTTTTTTTTTTGTTTTAGGAAATTCTGTATATGGGGTGCCTAGTTTTGCCTGCCTACCACTAGAGAATAAAAATTTGAAATACCTGTATCTCCTGATTTAAAAAGTAAAAATACGTATCTCCTGATATGGGTTGTAGTCGATCAATTGAAGAATTGAAATGAAAATGGCTACTTTGTGTAACATCCTAATTGTGTTTCTATTTCTCAGCCGACTTTTATAACTTTGATTCCAAAAGGATAACTTTAATTGGAAGACTAGATTTCCAAAGCCTTGTGATTTATTTTTTTTTAACTGTGTAATACTTACCATAAAATATTCTAAAAGCAGCGGTAACACAAATGATTGGACATTTGACAGAGCAATGTTCCCAGCCAGCACAGTCATTTTAATAGTTGAAAATAAAATCACAGCCAAAATGCAGGATTCAGAAATACTTAAAGGCTTCCCATTTCTTACAAAGGGTGCTTACAGCAGTTAAATTTAGAGTAGTAGTCTTATATCTGACTGTGTTAAGGGGCTCTTGAGGAAAAAATGTAACCCGGGTCATCTATTGCTTTTTCACCAGTTTTCAGTCTGTGCCTGGACAGCGTGTAAGTGGTGGGGTAGTGGCGAGAAAGGTCTAACTACCTGAGAGAGCCGCAGCGCTGTGGAGGACCTCCTTCTCAGCAGGTGACCAGGTCGGCGGCACCTTTTTGCTAGCTGCCGCAGGGAACGTTCACCCTGTCAGGTAACGTTCACCCTGTAGCGGGGATTCACGTCTTTCCTCGTGGAGGGGTCTTGAGCAGAGTGAGCAGCAGCCCGGTGTGTCCGCTCTGCCCAGCAGCTGTGGCCGCGCAGGGCTGGTGATGTGGGGAAGGTTCTAGAACCGCTCCCCGTCCCTTGTACAGCAGGGAGCTGCGTGCCGCCATGGCGGCCTGTCATTAGCCGAGGGAAGAGCTTGAGTACCTCCAGTTCATCCTTTATGTTTTTAGCACTCTTCCTCTTTAACATGGCAACAGTATTGATGACCAGAAATAACCTGTTTCAGTAGAGAATTCATATTTGCATGGGGACAGAGGAAAAAAAGGCAATGCACAGTACTATAAAATCACCTGACCTTGGGGTTCATGTGTTCAAGAAAATTCACACTGTTGGACAAGATTTTAGGGATGATTGTTTTTCGAGTGCTAGATGTGTGCAGTGCTAGCTAATTTCCCCAAGTGAAATTGTCATCATCAAGTACGGTTAATGGGGTGAAATGAGTAAGTGTCAAAATGCCTTTTCAGGCACGGACCAGTAGGGATCTTCAATGGTGTCATGCGATTGCTGTTTGCATCGAGTACCAGGAAGAAAATCTTGGAATCGACATTGCAACGTGGCTGCTGGTTATGGCTTGAGATGTCTGCAGTGGGTGCTTTGCCCACAAAAATAAGATTCCTGCTACCTTGAAGTTGCATCTCCAGTCCACTTTTCAGGTCTCCTTTGAAACCCTGCAAGTTGACAAGTGTTGTTCTATAGACACAGACACTACGTCATAGGCTATTTTGCATGTCTGGGTTTCAGAGGCTCTTCCTTCCTCACCACTGCTCATATTTCAAAAGCATAGCTATCAGAGGTGACTTCTGCCTCCCTGCGAGGGTGGCACAGCGTCGGTGCTTTTGGTCCCACCACGGCTGGGGTGGGCCACAGCAGTCTGTTAGCTGGTGGTCTCCAGGCCCAACTGTTTGAGGACATTGCATCTGTGAGTGACTGCTACAATTTTTTGTTTGTTTTGCAAGCCACCTTGGGAACAAACGGAAGGATAAAAGCTTGTGCTCTGAGGTCAACAAGAGATGTAAGTTTCTCGTGATTTAAGGTCTGTTGCAGAAAAATGAGGCATGCTCTCTTTTTGTACTGGCCAAAAATGGGAATAGATGGCATTGTCCACCAGAAGTTGGAAAAACACAAAGAATGGAAGGAGTCTGGGGAGGTGGATTTTTTTTTTTTACAGTTGGAGGGGCAAAAGAGGACTGTGCCTGGTGTGACTCTGTCATGACAACAAGTGTTTGGATAACTTGCAGGCTAAGATGCTATTGAACCTTTTCAAGAAAAGAAGACAGCTTATAGCAGAAGCGTATATACTGTGTTTAGCTAGATGGGCTCAGTAGATGAAATACGAGTATGGGGTTAATTAAGCCTATGCTTTGTACTTCAGTTTGCATGAGACAGATGTCTACCCAAGTGCAAATTGTGTGCCTTGCTTGGTACATGGTGCACATTGAGGTGAGGTGACAGAATCACTTTTGATTATGTCTTGATCTTCTTAGCAAAATTTTATCACATGGTCTCAGTAAGAGACCAGGAGACGGGAACAAGTCCCTCAGTTCCAGGGTACCTGTTTTATCACATGATCCTGTATGCATTGTATTGTCTGTCAAATATTTTCCTTTTTTTAAAAAAAAAAAAGCCATAGTCTTAGTCTTGACTTGAGGTCCTGATTCAACTTCTTTCTCATTGACTTAAGTGGTTTTGCGAAGTACTGAAATGTACACCTTGGAAGTATGGCTTGAGCCCTGTGAGCCTGCCCCTTCCATTTCTTCTGTAGGGACTAGCCAGGTAGCTGTGAGTTCTGAACAAGTGCAGCTTTGACAGAGGTTGCCTGAAGAGTGTCAGAAGATGCTTTACAACTGAGATTCTGCATGTTTCTGCACATACCACCTATTAAACCTGCTCTGAGACTCTTCAGTCTCTTTAAGGTGTTCTTAAGGCCATTTCACACACGTGCATTGTTTACTCTAGCCTGACAGTGCAAGAGCAGGTTGTATAGATAAACTGCAAAATTGAAGACGTTTCAAATGGGTCCAAAAGGGTCTCAGGGAATTGTTTTGACATTTCTGTCAAAAATCTGGGCCTGTATTTCAGTGATTTGAGGTTTGCATGGTGGTTTGAATGTTTGTTTGGTTTCATCCCACCCCATCCCATCCCATCTGTGTCCTGACTCCCCTCATAGAATGGTTAGAGTTGGAAGGGACCTTAAAGATTATCTGGTTCCAACCTCCCTGCTGGGGCCAGGGACACCTTCAACTGGCCTAGCTTGCTCAACGGCCCATCCAGCCTGGCCTTGTGGGTGCCCGGCACTGTTTAACTTCCCTGGGCAACCTGTTCCAGTGTCTCGCCACCCTCACAGTAAAGAATTTCTTCCAAATAGCTAATTTAAATCTACGCTCTTTCAGCTTAAAACCATTACCCTTCATCCTATCACTACACTCCCTGATAAAGGGTCCCTCCTCATCTTTCCTGTAGGCCCCCTTTAGGTACTGGAAGGCCGCTAAAGTGGTGCCTTCTCTTCTCCAGGCTGAACAGCCCCAACTCTCTCAGCGTGTCCTCACAAGAGAGTGGCTCCAGCCCTCTGATCATCTTTGTGGCACTCCTCTGGACGTACTCCAAAAGGTCCATGTCCTTCTTAGGCTGAGGGAGGGCCCCAGAGCTGGACGAAGTACTCCAGGTAGGATCGCACCAGTATGGAATACAGGGGCATTGGACATTACAGTTTGTGATGCTTCTCTGCTAGTAACAAGAGCTATGGAAGCAAATTCTAGCTTACTGTGCGGAAGATATCTGCAGTTGCTCCACTGGCCAGGTTTTGAAACTCCAGGATCTTTTTTTCTTATTTTTTTTTTTTCCCCCTAGGGCCTAGGGCTTGACTCGTGTGTGCCCCTCTTACCCCAGTAGGTCTTGGACTGTCGAGTCAAGTCTGCACACAAGAGCTGTTTGTGCAGGCCTGGCTAAGTCACGCAAAAAGATGCCTTGGATGCCAAAACGTGTTGATTCTTCTCCTTTATTTATTTATTTTTTTTTTCATGTAGCTCAAGCTGAAGAAAACCCTGGAAATGATGAGGTTGAGTGAGCTTATCCCTAAGTCTCGCAGCATCCCTGCAGGTTTTACCTGAACTGCTTCATTTCCCCTTCTGGACCTCTTGGAGGAGGAGGGTGAGGCTTTAGGAGAGCCTGGGTCTTCGTTGGCTCTGCTGGACTTCTCCGAGGAGGGGGGTGAGGCTTTAGCAGAGTCTGGGTCTTTGTGTTCTCTGCTGCACCTTCCTCAGACCTCAGCACGCCTTTGTCAGTCAGGTCTGAGGAAATCTGGCTGTACATGAAGTCTTTTTCTGAAATGGAAGGTAGCTGAAATTTTGGTAAAGTTCCCGCTTGTTGATCTGGGTGTTCAGGGGTGAATTTGGGACTTCCCTGACTCAATTCAAAGGCCTTAAGGATGTAGGAGAGATATATTTCCTTTGCTTTCTGCCTTCCCCCAGCCCACAGCAGCCCAGAGCTCCACTGGGAGAGCACGTTTTT